AATGCAGAACAAAGGAGGAGATACTCAGAAAATCGAATGGAAATGCTGAGAGGAAGGAATGCACCGAAGCCGAAGCCGAAGCCGAAGCCGTAGCCGAAGCCGAGCGAGCGAGCGACGACGACGGCGCGAGGCTTGCNAGCCGAAGCCGAGCCGAGCGAGCGAGCGACGACGACGGCGCGAGGCTTGCTTTCTTCTTAACTCTTTAAGAGCTACAAGAAGAGCAATCATATATATACCCACCAAAAATGTCTTCCACTTCCAATATGGGACAATGTCTTATTGTTAAGAGGGGGAAACTTAAAATTTTACTCAAAATTTCATTTTCCCTCCATTTCCCATTCACCCTCATTTTAAGAATATTACATCTTAAAATAAAACCTCAACAAAAGCTTACGCCAACTCATCTTTTTCTAAGCACTTCGGAGGGGGATCGGAGAAGGATTGGTTTAACGTCATCATCTCATATAGTTTATCACTGTATCATCCTTGATTACGATGGATACCACAAATAATGGCTCATTATTGGCAATAATTTTCATTTAGAAATGACAATCATTGGAAAAACAATAACATAAACGAATAGACAGATAATACTAACAGATAGTATTGAATATATGATGAACCATGTATTCCTTAGGTACATATATAAGTAGATTGTTTCGTTTTTCTCTTCAATGTTCTTTTATAGAAAATTGAACATAACTAAAATATGGAAGAATCTAAGCATCAACCTAAACATAAAACCAATAAGTGAAGTACTCAAGATCATTATAAACCTCTTTGTAATCCAGTACGTACAATCGATGAGAAACAAGTGTATTCTCAAATAATACCCCACGGCCGCATTTGAGAGGGAGAAAACTGGTTGAGCGTGAGGCTTAATAGTCTAAGGAGTGAGTTCGAATCCAAATTAGTAATAATTCAATGTTTAGAGAGAAGCTCAGATCGGCTCTAGGGAGTGATGCTTTTAGAAGGAGAAACCCAGAGCGGTAGACTATAGCAAAAAATAAATTTGAAATCATGTGAAAGAGTTTAAACATCCAATCCAAATTACTTGTGGAGTAATCCAGGGTCATTATAAACGAACCTAGCTCTTTGAAAACACTTGCACAATTGATGAGGGGCACATATATTCGCTAACCAAAAATTGTCAGTTGCCAATAAAATAAGACATTTGGAGATTATATGAAGCTGCTAGAAAGATAATTTTACAAATAATGCATAGGTATCTTAATCAAAATTTAATATGGTTAACTGTCAAGAAGCAAAAGGCAATATTTTCCTAACTTTTCTGGCTCAGTACTGTACACAGAATTATAAAGAAAAAGTGGAAACAAAAACAACATATATTGATTCAACATGATCAGAAGTGAAGCACAACAATCTCTAACACAAATACCACTACTTTTCTGTATGGTACCATTGTTTAGAATACCCACTTGCGTGGTAGGACATAAAAATACTAGTCTGCAACTTTACACATGAAGGGAGAAAAAGATTCTGGAACAATAAAATCTATGTAAAAATGTAAACACGGGCGTATTAATTAACCTTGTAGTCAATTTAGAGTGACCTATCTGAGGTCATGTTCGCTTGAAATTAGGAAGCTCATGACGAAGGGCAGATTGATGACGACCGGTAAAGAAGGATCGCCGTACTTCTAGACAACCTTCCGAAAAGGAGGTGCATATGACATTACTTTAACAAATCTCTCATTGAAAAGGAAGAGAAAAGTGAAGTGACATATCAAACATACACGTTCATATGGTACACATACTTTTGGCACGGTCACATAACCCAAGGACAAATTTATTGTAGTCAATTGAAACATCAGAGAATTAACTTGATATATATATATATATATATATATCTGGTTAAAAGGAAAGCTCATTCATGGCAACAAATCTTGTTGGAGTGAGGTGATAAGAGCTATAAGTCCTGGCAAAGCTACAACCATGACGATGGTGACCAATAATCTCATCAGAGTCCATTTCCATCAAAACTTTGAGAAAAATATCAATATCACAAGGGAGGACCAAAGGACCTTTACTGTTATAACCAAACTCTGATTCAGCTTCTTCAAGCAGCATCTTGAAGATGGGATGATTCACATACTCAGTCCTAATCACAAATCTTTGTTTCTGTTGTCCGACATAGACCGAGAAACAACCTTCTGTAGCCACTCGAACTCTTTTTCTGGTCTTTTTTGTCGTCAGAGCATGTCGATTTTCTGACGAGTTTTTTCGACCAAAAGATTTACATCTCTCCCATGTTTTGGGGATTAATCCTTTCTTTCCTTTTTCAGCTTTGTTGAAATCCATTTTTGTTTTTATTCCCAACAGAAATTAATGAGAAAAAAACACGTACTACGTAAAATCTATGTATCTAGGATTTAAGCTAACCTCTGTCGTAAGCCAAGTGAAACTGGATCTTCATCCTAGGCCTCATGGTGTTACTCATGTAAATATAAGTTCACACAAATAAGAGATATTCATGCAAGAGGATTACGTACAGTTGAAGAGAACAAAAAAGAAAAAGATCACTTGATAAATGTATACAAAAGAAGATTTGAAAGAAATGCAGAAAGTAGGGGTGGTAAAAAGGGATTAGGAAGGAAGTAGGGGAGAATGTCAAGATGTAATAAGCTCGCTCTTGCCTTTCTATATATGTATATATATACGAAAGGCCAATTATAAAGAGTTGAAATTAATTTTCTCTTAAAATAAAAGGCCAATGTTGATTGTCAACGCTTGTGGGGAATTATCAACGTTTCTTGTTATGTTATTATTATTATGATTAACCTTAGGGTGACACAAAGAGACTAATTTGTCTGACTTGGAAATGTTGAGTAACAGATGTTCGGCTTTCAGTGGACTTGGGAACGGGTAATGAGTTGTGTTCAATTTTTATTTTTTTCAAAACTATAAGCCATGCCACTTGTCAGTTATCTTTATGTGAGATAATAACAGAAAACAACATCATCACATCCACAAACACCAACGAGCTAGCTTGTCTAAAAAATTGAAATTACGGGTGATATTTATTATTCATGATAGTGGAGATGGAATTTGAGACTTGAGATTAATTATTTGATAATGTAAGGCCCGTGTTGACAAAAATAATATTGTTAGTATAAACCATCCAACTGTTCAAGGATGTTTACTTACAATATAAACGCTCCTAATAATTGAGCCATTATTATAATGAGAATGTATTATGTTAATAGGTACTAGTAAAAATTAGGCAGAAATAGAGAAGACTTAGCCGAATAACCAATAGATGAAAGACAATTCGGTTTCAGTAAGAAAGTCTAAATTAATCAAAAGTTTGCGATAAAAAAAGTGCTCGAGTTTAAGTAAAAGTATGACTACTTGCCAATAAGTGATTCCGGTAGAGGCTGTATCAAACAATCTTGGCGTAACTGAAAACGACAAACCAATTAACAGTGAATTGAAAGTGAAACATCCAAAACAGGATCATAAGTATGAAAATCTAGCCTAAAATTGATACCTACCTTGCCTCACACGATATGAGAAAACGAAATATGGAAAATCTATCATTTCCGGCGACTTACACATCCATCTGCAATAGATCGCCGAAAATGGTTTCCGATGATCGTCGTCAAAGATTCCAAGAACCTTTTTGACGGCCATAAATTATAGAGAGAATTACACATAAGTACAGCTCACACATATATTGTAATCAAGTAGCCCAATCACAACTTTACAAATCTATAGCCTAAAGATAATAGGCCAATATCCGGAAAAGAGCTTTTTCTACACCACCAACTACTAGTTATTGTTCCTTCTTCATAAATTCTCATCCTTTGCATAGATCCCAATTGAAACAATCAACTTCAATGGTGGGATTTGTTTTCTGGAAACACGTTTGAACTTGCATTTCTTAATGAAAAATTGTGTAGGATTGGAAGCAGTAGCAACATCTACAATTCTACAGGAGACTGAGAGTGTTTTCGATGATAAAATGATAATAGTGATTACAGAATACATCTTAGAACTCTTAATGTAATTGAAGGATCTTTGCCAAATATTAAACTTTCTTCTTCCACAAGTTTTAAATAGCAGAAATCAAAAATAGAACTTGAAACAATTTGGTGCAAATTTGTGATTTGGAGGAAAAATCAACTAAGAAATTGATTTTATACATAGATTGTTCGAGAAAAAGTAAGAAAAAAATATAAATTTTTTTAATTTTTGTTTAACTGTACATGTGCAGTACATGTATATTGATGTATAACTTTGTATAAACTTGTATATGAAATATATAATAATGTATACCTAAAAAACAAACAAACAAAAAAAGAGAAGAAAATATCAAACTTACATGGAGGCCTTTTATACACTGACAATATATGTACTCCCTTATATACTGAGACAATATATGTACTCCCTTATATACTGAAAAAAGATCATAATCATATTGTCTTATACACAAATATATGTACTTATACATATTTATACATAATTATATAATATTGTATAAGATATAAACAACGGTTACACAAAATCTATACTAGAAAACACTTTCTGTCCATCACTACGCCAAAATTACCACCAAAAATAAAGAAGAAGAAGAAGAAGAAGAAGAAGAAGAAGAAGAAGAAGAAGAAGAAGAAGAAGAAGAAGAAGAAGAAGAAGAAGAAGAAGAAGAACGAATTCGTAATGTTATTCGAATAAATTTTAAAACATCCAAGTCGGTTTTCTAGAGAACCCAGCAGTAGACTCGAATATTTTTCTTCCAAAATTCTTCACGCCGTCGAGTTTAATACACAAGTACAGCCATGAACAATCATGGAGCTTTGAGCTTCAAAGGAGATGGCATTTTTTTTATTTAAAACTACAATTCAAGTTCAAAGGATACAATCAGTGTGGTATGGCAGAAAATAATAAAATAGGTGAGGAGAAAATTTCTGTAAGAATCTGTAAGAAGATAGGAATAGGGTGTGATAGAGAAAACGATGTAAAGGAAAGGGTTTGCAGTGGAGAAGATGATGGAAATGGTGAGGGGGAGGGGGGCAGCGAAGAAGACGAGGAAAAGAGCGAGTGTCTTTTATCTTTTGTTTTTTCTTGTTAGCAACTAGGGTTATGGATTAAAGGTAGGGATGGTTTAAAGGCATATCATGTATAACGTGACCTTTATATTTTTACTAGTTAATTATCCGGCGCGGTCAGATATTTCTTTCTTTTTGGAAATAAAATTTTTATAGTACCATAAATAAGAAATAGATATCTTTTATATAAGATATACTTTCCAAAATACGTGAACACATGCATGCATACACGTAAATTAATACTCTACAATATTTTTTGAATATTTATTACCTTCCCATTCTTCCATGGATAAAATATTTTGTCCTTATTGAGAAATAAAGATTATTCACAACAAAAGATAAATATCGTACATGAAATTCCAATTTGATAGATGCATTCGTACATTTCCTCTAGTAGATATTTGTTATATAGGTTTACCCAAAGAAAGTAAAGAATATCAAATCAAATGCCATGAAAAGAGAACTCTAAAAGAATACACAAATGGATATTAATATATCAAGTAAATAAACAATTGCAGGGAAGATGAGAAGTTTGAAACAATAAAAGAACATATAAATGAATCATTAAAATGTATAATAAATAAACAATTATAGAGAAGGAGAAAAGTTGTATAATTGTAGACTTTACACTTCTAAAAGTTTAGATAAATGAGATAAATGAGAGGAAAAAGGCAAAAAAAAAAAAAAAAAAAAAAAAAAAAAAAAAAAAAAAAAAAAAAAAAAAAAAAAAAAAAAAAAAAAAAAAAAAGGCAGAATAGCCTCGTAGACACTTGTACTTGTTTCGCTTTGTCATCTCGGTCCCTATAATCTACAAAGTTTCATCGAAATACTTTAACTTGATCAAAACCTATATTTTAAACCTCTCTGACCGTTGACCAAGCACATGTGACAATAAAATGGTTGAGCTGGACAATACAAGTGTAGTTCACGCGGACAACGTGTGTGAATATGATATTTTGAATAAGAAATATTTAAAATAACAATAAAAAATAAAATAAAATATGTAAAAAAAGGAAAAAGCAAAAAGCAAAAAGCAAAAAACAAAATTCCCAGCACCCCACCCCATTTTTCTTTTTCCTGTTAGCTTCTTCCCCCACCCCTCCCCTTTTTGTTTTCTTGTTTTCCTTATACGCTTCTTCTTCTTCCCCAAGGAAAAAATAAAAGATTCTTATTTTTTTTGATTTAATTACCGCCTGCAATTGCAAATCATTGTTTGCACTTTTCCATTCTTTCCTTTTCTTCCCCTTTTCATCCCCTTCTGTGTTACTACTAAATTCAATCTAAAATTCGATTTTATTTCTCTCTGTATATATATAAAACACAGATTTGGATAATCACACCTTGAATTTCCCTCCTCGAATTCCCGAAACCCAATTTCTAGTTTTTGTTCCCTCTCTAATTGTAATCAAAATTCGATTTTGTTTCTCTCTTTGTATATAATATTATAGATTGGGGCATTACATAGGTGAGAGAAGGCACCAGGTAATTGGAGATGAGAAAGAAATCACCGGCGAGAATTTTCGGTGGTCGGAGATAGTCTCTGGCAGAGGTTGTTGAAAGTGGCGGCACATAGAGGTGGGGTTTGTGGTGTTGCTTCAACGGCAATGATACCGAACGACTAAAAAGCTCAACAAGTCGCCGAAGTTAGCTTCATTGAACATCGCCGGCTATATAAGAGTCACTGTCGGCGAAAATTCCGGCCAAAGTTCCGGATCTAAAACCCATATGATAGAAGAAACATAAAATAAGAAGACAGTGGGGTAAGGATAAGAGGAAACGGGAAAAGCATCGATCAGAATAGATGATTTTTATGTTTGAATTTTATTTTTGTTTTTATTTTTGATTTTAATTATTTTTAATCTACCATGTGACATGGCATCTATACATTGTTATTTTTTTATGCGGCAGCCAACGTGGAGGAGATTGTATTACACGCACTGACAGCCTTCTATCATAAGCGTTTATTATACACGGTTTGAAGGAGTATAAATGTTCAATTGGTAAATTGGTAAGTTTGGGGACCGGCATGATAAAGTGGCACAAGTATAGGTGCCATTTAGGCCATTCTGCCAAAAGAAAAAGGTAAGAAAGTTGTCATGTCACGCTGTCATACATGATGTTGTTTTTGTTTAATGGTATCAAGAATATGCATTAACCCAAAAAAAAAAAGGAAAACAAAAACTCATTGAGCAGCTACCCTCTTGTTTATCCTTCCCAATGTATATATCTTGTTCCTGAAAAAGAAGTATCACATTTTCTTGTAAGCATTCTATATCCACGTCCAGTCTAAAACAATCACCTTAACATGAATTTCCCTCCTCATTTTTTTACTTCTATTTTTGTAATGACCCGACCGGTCGTTTTAAGTATTGCATCATCGTTTCCCCCATTTACTGTTAATCATGTGTTAAATTATAATTATGTGACTTGTCGGAGAGGTTTCAGAATGAATCGGAATACTTAGTTCCAAGATTTAAAACTTAAGCGAAAATAGTTGACCGAATATTTGACTTATGTGTAAATGACCCCAGAATAGAGTTTTGAAGATTTCAATAGCTCCATATGGTTATT